ATACATTTTGGACGTGTTCGGTTGGGGAATTACTATGGTTTTTTTAATTTTAAAAATATGATTTAAAAAGATATGTATTTTTACTGGTTTTGCGGGAACACACTAGATAACCTATTCTGATCTCCTGAACTCAGTCATCCGAATTATTTCTTTGAACTGAAAGCTCACTGTCTGTTACTACCTGAAATATCAGTAGGATTTCCGCTCAACATAAAAATTTGTAGATTTCTGAACCGACAAGGAAATATATGTTTATATGTATCTGCATGTTCTTCAACATCATCTGGTAGTTCTGTATTACTGAGCTTTCCGAAGGTATCGACTTCAGTAAGGGAGTTTTTTCGGCGTTGTTATCAGAGTATGGTACATGTGATTAGGGGGCATGTAATTGTATTTTGTTTTATATCTGAGTCTGAAAATCTGTTTTATTTCTGCATACTGATAAATCATTTTATAAGTTACATGTTTTAATAAAAGTTTTAAATTTTCCGCTATTTTTACAGTGGGTCACTCCGGTGGCCCTAATGTGTCAGTCTAGATCGGATCGGGTTACTTGCATTGGTCTGAGGGATTACATTTAGTGGTATCAGAGCCTTGGTTTGAGTCAAAATTTTCATGATAGACCGACCGGTCGATTTTCAAAAGATGTCTGATCAGTATATGCCCCTAGACTACAATCGTACTCCTCTGAGTCGGAACTCCAAGGTTGAGTCCCTATCTGTAACGAGCAAACCTAAGTTTTTATCCGCTAAGGCTCTACCATTATATAAAGGAATACCAGTAACGTCTATCTGAATTCTGTAAAGTACCTCACGAGCCATGTGAGAGTTACTCATTTGAGAAATTAAGACCTGGCTCCGGAAATGAAAATTTGGATACGTTACCACTCTATGAATATTCTCGTAACAAAGGTTGAATTGATTCCACAAGGATAAATTTGTTCTGATTCTTTTATTGGAATGAGAGAGAGTTCTGATGAAGATGTATACTTAACTGGTTAAGGATTAATAGAGTATCGGTACTCCTGTAAAGGCTACTGAAATATATGAAAGAACTTATGGAAGTTTTATTTCTGCAACTTTGTGACATGAATGAATTTCGAAGAAGAAATTCTTTTAAGGAGGGGAGAATTGTAACACCCCAATTTAGGAGCTAAATTTTTGAAATTATAGAGTGGTGAATTTAATTGGTATTTTGGAAGAAATTGGGGATTAAATTGTAAAATCGCAAAATTAGAATACTATTTTATATAGTGCAGAAAATTTAGTGGCTAAACTCATAATTTAGCCATTTTTCTTTTTGAGAGAATTATAAATTCTCTCCCCCGTTAGTTTCTAGAGGATTTTTCCAGTTTTCTTTCCCCTTTGACTCTCCTTTAAGCTCCGATATACTCACCATCTGGCCACCATTTGACGAACCGAAACCACTATCGTGTTCGTTGTCGACCGATGGACAAAACCCCTTAAACGTTTCGTTATGAATCGACGTCGTTTTTCGTTAATATCAGTTGGAAGTAATATCAGTTTTAACTCAATTTCCGTTGGTTTTCCGTCAATTCACGTCGATCCGACCACCCGTTTTCGACACCTCCCACACCATCGAGTTCCTTGTATCGTTCTGAGCCCACATGTGTCCTCCATGTCTCCGTTGTCGTCGACGCGTGCAGGGGTGAGGAAATCAAAGTTTTCGATGTTTTGGAATCGAGTTCTCCACCATTCAAAATTATGAACCGAGCTTGGTATGTGTCTCAAAATGCCATAAAATATTTTTTAAAAATTTTTCGATAAATTTTTGGACATCGTATCATTGTTCACGCGCCTCACTCGCACCCCTTAAGAGTGGTATTCGTCTGGCAACAGAAAAAAAAGAAAGAAATTCGATTTGACCGGTCCGACCAGACTGACCGATCCGACCCGTTGACCGGCCATTGAACGGCCATTGACTTTTTCCAAATATACTTATTGTGATGTTTTTTGATGTATTGAGTCTGTATTTGGGTCCGTTTCGCCAAATTCGAACCCGATAAGCTGTTTTTCACTGATTTATCATCTGATTCAATCTGTTTTTCAGAATTAAACCACGTTTTTGATGAATTTTTTTTATTTTTATGTATTTGAGGAATTATTGGAAGTTGAATTAAAGATCAAGGGCATTCGAATGAAATTTATTTGGTCGATCAGTATGGCACGAAAATCGATGTAATATTTTACTACCTCTTTATGCTTATTGGAATATGTTGATATTTGTAAATGCATGAATAAGATAATATTGGTCTCATATGTGTAGTTAATTAATTTCTACGCTCGATCCGAATACGATAAAAATTCGGTAACTGATTATGGTTCAGATGACTTTTATAAGAAATTGAGGGATTGTTAGAATTAAAATTACAAGTTCTGTGATTAGTGATAAAGGAATCAACTTGGATCTCTAACATATAATTTATTTCATCAAAGGTACTTGGATGGGAAATTATGAGAATACTCTGGTAGGATAAAATTACGAAAATACCCTTATGTTGTAAGATGACAAGAATTATCCTTGGAAGTTGGTTAATAACTCTGAAAAGACATATTGATCTGGTAAAATTACAGATGTGCATAAGAAATGCTAGTTTTGCTAAGAAGATTGGGATAACTGATTTTTAACACCATGAGGGTTTATGCAAGATGCTAGAAGTTTGTTAAGGGAATCATTTCAAGATCAGAGAATGTTCGGGAAAGCAATTAACCATAGGATCTCTAAATTATAATTATTTTCGTTAAGAGTTAATACTGAAGTTATCTGGTTAAGAAATTACGAAAATGCCCTTGGAGGTAAAAATAATCCGAGCTGACCCTAAATGAGAAAGTACTTTAAGGATTTGTACTTAACTCGATAAATTACAGATTTAATTGTTAAGATCCTGTCTTTGTACAGAAAATTCCTGATAACCTATTGGTAACTTCTGAGAAGACAATTGACCTGAAAATCTCCGAGTTCAGAATAAATTATCGAGGGTGCTCTTTTGTCAGAATTGTTCAAAAGGTCTGGAAAAGATGATACGTTTGAATTAAATAATAAGATCATATGGAAGGAAATGATTGAAATACACCAGATCTGTAAAATGATCAAAATACCCCTGGAATGAAAATGACCAAGAATATCACCAAACTCAGGAATGATTGGATATCATTGAGCTCTAAAATGAATGGAATAAAAGTGAGCACCAGAATGACCAAAAAAACTCAATATAAACCCGACCCAAGTTGGAAATATATTGACGATAAAAGAAAGAAAAAATTGAAAAAAAAAGTAACGAAGTCCCCAAAGAACTCTAACAATCGTCTCCAACATTGTTTCAGTTTAGCCTAAAAATGCATAATTTTTTACAACAATTACAAAATTTAAATCCCTAAAAAAATAAATTATTACATATGAAAAAAAGAATCAGATTTTTACAACAAAATTAAAGAAAATCATGCTAAATATAAAACTAAATGAAATTAAAGAACATCAAACTAAATAAAATGGTAAAGCAAGAACAAAAAATAGTTTTTTTCGCAAATATAAATATGTATATTCGAAAAATATGTAGATCAAAATATCTAGAAAATATAAGTAAAAAATTAAAAAAAAAAAAAAGATAATATGACCATGGCCATCTGAGAGATGAAACAGAATGAACAAAAACTAAAATTGAAATTACCTAGAATTGAAGCATTTGAGAGAAGAAATTAAAAGAAAAATAAAAAGGAAAAGAAGAAAACGAGAAGAGGAAGAAGAGGAGCGAGGAAATGAAAAGAAATAAACCCTAAACATTTATTTATATAGGATAACATTTTTATAAATAAGTTACACTAATAATTAATATATTCAGGTCGGATCTGAGGTTTTATATACTAAACTAAATTCTAACCCGAACCCAAAAAAATTATATAAAAAATCCAATTCAATCCGAATTCAAATTTTAAAATAAAAAAATCCAATCATATTAGATCGAATCTAATCAGGTTCATTGTACCATTTCTAGGATCTGCCACTCACTTGGAGAAATGTTTATTAGGAATTTTGCACAATTAAAAATATAAGAGCTTTTGACGGGCCTTTTGTTTAGAGTTCAAAATATTTTTTCAATGGATTTTTTCTAATAGTATAGGATAATTACAAGATATAATACATATTCATAAATTTTTAAATCAATTGTCAATACTCTATACACTCTCTGCAAACACAATTGCTCAAACTCAAAACCTTTAGGAAGACCAACATTCCTTTAGCTTAATATAAAAATAAGTGTCTAAACTATATCTCTTTTACCATTTAGGTGCCTAATTTTTTTTATCAATTTAAATGTCTAACTTTTCCAGTGTTATTATTTACTCCTTATGAGTATAAAAATATACCATGGACAATATAAATGCAATTGTTGAGCGAATTGATTCAATTAACCAATACAAAATTTTCAAAATAATAACCGAACTTATAGATAACTCTTCCGAGATTAACTGTTTGAGTGAATTTTTCTTAACTATTAACAATGCATACAAATTTTACAGATACAACTAAACACTTCTTTTAACCACTAAAAAAAATTAAGTGTAGATCGATTTAATGAAATACGTTTATGCTAGAATTTGCTCACCCCTATTTATTAGCAATATTCACAAATATACAAAAATCTGAGTTTTGAGTCAAACATTAGTCATATGGCCCAGTCAGAGTGAGTGAAATTAATATGCATTTTCCTTCTCACTTCTGCCCTTCGTATCAGTATTCTTTATATAGTTGGTAAATTTTCATAATTGAAAAATAATAGCAACACAAACGTCTTCAAATGCCACATAATGGCATATGCACGTTTAGTTCAGGATCGACAATAGTTCATCCTGAAATATGAATTTCCCTCTTTTAGTTATCCATTTTACTAATTGTGTCCACTCTAAAATCTGATCTTCCATCTATTTTCAATAAATTGTGTTATTCATATATGTGTGTCCACTGTAAAAAAATATTTTTGGATACAACACTAATACCACACCAGCTTATTTCACATCAAAGGGGTTCCAAATAAAAGTACTACATGATAATATGGCATATCAAACAAAACCGCAGTAAAGAAAGCATACCAGACAGTTAATATTATCTTAGGTTTAAAGAAACCAGAAGAGCATCAGAGACGGTCTTAATTCAGTTCTTTGGACTCTGACCAACCACTTGAGCAAACTTTATTATTCTTCTTGGTCCATTAAACAGTATGGATGGTATTTTCAGAATCAGACAATTTAGTCTTGCTTGGCATTTTTCTTTTCCCCACTTTTCAGGAACCGTGAAAACCAATAGGCTGAAGATTTGGGATGCCGAGTGAGGTTGTTCTTGTAATCTACATAAACCAAACCAAAGCGCTTGGTATATCCTTGAGCCCACTCAAAATTGTCTAATAAGGACCATGCAAAGTATCCCCTCACATCTACTCCATCTCTGTACACATAAATGTAAATGTCAAATGTAATGAACTTATCAATTTCTTCCATTAACCATAAACCTCGAGTAATATTCATATTAGACACCCCACGCAACTATTGAACTTTGAAAATACCATCATCTGTATATGTATAAATACAATAATAAAATGTTTGAAGATTTAGTTGCACCGACCACGTTCAAATAAACCTCTAAAGAGTATGCTCAATTAGCAAATTTTATCTGTCTTTAGTTATAAGAAATATCCAAATATGTGGACTCAATCCCAGTGATGTTGTCTTCTATAGATATCAACTATTTTAACTCTATGTGAATTTGTAATTTTGGTGGTTGTCCATTCTTCTCTGCATTACCCTTTAAATCTTTAAAAAAAATACGGGTGGTAGGTTTTCTTTATTGGTACAAAAGAAGACCCATTAGCACTTGAGCTCCTCCACCATCTCATGCCCCAATCTCACTTGAGCTTCAGATTTTCAAGATAAAATCTATAAGTTCCAATCACCGGAATACCCCCTTGGGGACTTCTAGGGTTGTAGTTGATTTAATTTGTAAAGCATGCATGTAAAATGGTGATTAAAAGTGGACCAACTAACTTGATTGCCCGAGAAATTGCGGCAAGGTATCCCTTAAAGTAGCGGACTCTTAATTTGTCATCAAGGATCTCATTGAGTGGCAAACTGTTGTTGTCTTCCTCATCCATCCCTACCGAAGATTTGACAGAAAAAAATGTTTAGTGAAAGAGCAGTAAACGGGATAGCAGTTGATTCTACAATTGTATGCCGAATGCAGAAGGTTCTACAGTATCCTGTCAACTTACTGAACCAGAAATATACCTCATTTATGAGGTGCCAGACGGCTCATAAGGAATATCTCTAAGTTGCTAAAATGAAAATGTATAAACCATGCAACAGCTGCATATATGAAAAATAGATGCAAAAGCAAAACCTGAAACAATAAGTCGATTATAATTGTAATTCTTAAAGTCAAACTGCATACCATTCTCGGTGATATATATATTGGGGGATTATTGTATGTTCGTGCTATGTAGTTGAGCATCTTACGGAGGCCCCAAGGGACAATGTAAAGCCATTCCGATGCTGCCTGCAATGCTTTAATACTTTTAGCAAATGGAAATAAGCCCAAAGAAAGAAATGTGTTATTGTATAAATGCGCAACAAAGAGACAAAAGAATGCGCACCTTTTCGCCAATCTTCTCACCCCCTTCCCATTCAACTGATAATTACTAAGGACATTAGTCTACAAATCACAGATAGAAAAATATACACACATAAACACAGAAATTATTACCAATTCTCTCCATCTCTTGTGCTTTATAAAAATAACTTTCTTCAGAACAACTTGTTGCATGACAAATAAACCTTGATGTATAATGATTAAGACCAAGAAAGTCCAATGAGTTCAAGAGCAATACTTTTTCTTCCTGTGAAAACTTGGGAAGTTTATCTCCTAATTTTTCAAGCATAACTGCTGGATAGTCTCCATAATATAATGGGCACAAGTACCTGTGGCAACAGTAATGAAATTAGGTGAAAAAGGTTCTTAGAATGAAAGAGAGAGCGACATGTAATGCAATTAGGATGTATTTTTTAACTTGGGAATGATGTACATAAAATGTTCAATAACTTTTATATAACGACAAATAACTCTTCTTTTAACAGTGCCTGCATTTTAAAATTTTTTGGTGACCTTACCGTTGGACATGGACATCAATATCACCAGGGGGTGTATCTAGGCCTAGGCTTACTTAAGCCACGACAACCAATGCCCAAAAAAGGATAAATTACTTATTTAGTCACCCATTTATTATTTAATTTCTGTTTTGGTCACTCAACTATTATTTATTTTAAATCACACTTAATGATACATTTTGGTTTTGTTTTGATCACTCATCTTTAGAAAAATTAGCGAAGATGTTGATGTGTCATCATAAGATAATGCCACGTCAGGATTAAAAAATAATTAAAAAAATGTCATATTAACATCATTCTTAATTTATAACGGTATGTGATAAAAACAGAACAAAACGCAATGTTATGTATGATTTTGAAAAAATAATAGTTGAGTGACCAAAACATAAATTAAGTAATAGGTGGGTGACCAAATAGTTAGAACCTAAATAAAAAATATGTATGAATTATGTTAAGAAAATTAAATTGGTCCAATTAATATATTTTTCTACATTTAATCCAAATATATATTTATATAATTGTTATTATATTTTTAAATTAAATATATATATGAATAATTTTAGATAAAAAATTTATTATGTTTATGTTGGCCCAACCTATAAAATTTTTCTGGATTTGCCACTGAATATCACCTATCTCACCCACGAGATTCTTGCCACAAAACATCATAAATTTTTGTATATAATGCTTCTCACATACAAGAAAGGGAACATTTTCCAATTACATTTGTGAGTGTAGATTGTAGACATGTAGCTTATCAGTTCAAAATTAAAATTGATTTTGTATTTATCTCTTAGTAGTTCAGTATTATTCTAAATCTTATCCTCAGTATAGATAAATCTCATCCTAAGTGGAGATAAAGATAACATCTAGAGTAGTCTTAGTTAAAGTCTTTATAAAGTTTTATGTTGTAAACGAATAATTTTAAGTTAAAATAGAAGAAAGCTTCTTATTTTCTCTTCATCGAAATCTCTATTTTATTCATGGTATAAGTCGCTTTGGTTTTTTCAATCCCAGAAATTCCCTAGAAAATGCAGACTTCTGCAACCTTTGAAATCAGTTCGGGATCTGATCAAAACTCCTTCCAAACTATCCTAGCCAACAACTCACCCACGTCAATTACCTGCCACAAACTTAATGGCCACAATTATCTTTCATTGTCCAAATCTGAGAAACTTTACATCAGAGGCAGAGGAAAGGATGAGTATTCTCGGCAACAATGAATCCCAGCAACCAGAGACCCAAAATATCGAACATGACTGATGGAAAACAACCTAATCATGTCTTGTCTTGGCTCATCAACTCTATAGTCTCTGAATAGGAGAGAATTTTCTCCTTTATACGACAGCCTATGAAGTGTGAAATGTTGTCCAAGAAACATATTCCAGTTCAGGCAATGTTGCAGAGCTCTTTGGAATTAAGAGCAAGATCAATGTTCTTCAATAAAACAATATGAACGTGACACAATACTTCAATACGATGTCAAGGTATTGGCAGCAACTTGATTTATGTGATACTAATTATTGGTAGTGTACTAATGATGCAATCCTTCATAAAAAGCTCACCACTCAAGAATTTTCTAATTCCTATTTGGTCTAAACAAAGAATTGAAAGAGGCCTGAGGAAGGATTATAAGGAGAAAACCCTTATCTTCTATTTGAGAAGTATTTTCTGAGATTCACAGAGAATAAAATAGAAGGCCGATGATATCCGAACTAGTAGTTTCTGATTGATCGGCTTTGTACACTAATTCCTCAAACTCAGGCAACAAACAGAGAAAAGGGAAGCCTTGGTGTGAATACTACAAGAGGGTTGGTCACATTAAGGAACAATGTTGGAAGTTACATAAAAAACTATCCAACTGGAAATCACAAAAACTTCTACAACAAAAGGAAACTCAGGCTAATCTGGCAACTCCAAACGCTGTTGCCAGCTTCAACACAAATGGTCTGGCCAAATGACAACAGTAAATGTATCCAATATTATGTTTATAACACATGATGCTAATTTGACTAATCAAATTGACTGTACATAGTGGATTGTGGACTCGGGGTTTCTGAGCATATGACAGGGGACATCTCTTTATTGCAAAACTTCCAGAAGTTGATTCCTAAATCTCATGTCAAAACTGCAGATGGCTCATTATCAGCCATTGAAGGGAGTGTTTCAGTTACAACTAATCCCAATATTTAGTTGAATGTTGTGTTTTATGCCCCCAAACTTCCTTGCAGTTTGCTTTCTGTCAGTAAACTCTATATTGATTTATAGTGCACAACTAAGTTTGCCAAATATGTTTCATCGGGAAGGTGATTGGCAATTTTAGGCTTAGTTTTAAAAGGTGCAAGGCGCAACAAGACACAAAAGGTCCCTGGAGCCTAGACGCAAGGCAAAGGCACGTGCCTTTTGTAGGCAAGGCATACTTTATGCTAAAAAGCATATATCCATGCCCATTATTTACTTTGTCACTCTTAAAGCACTTAATCTCCTCCCCACATTCTATTCCTTCACCATTACTTGTCCACTCAAGAGTCAAGACCTATTTCTGATTATACTTTTAAAAATTTTGCCATCACCACATATTAGTATCACAAAAGGGCCAAATATAGAAGATCTAACACAATCAAAATATGCAAAGAGTTTCGGCTTACCATATTTTTTCTACATCATCAGTCAATGAAAAAGATTGGTTTTTCAGTAAACTAGAAACTCTTAATTGCATAAACAACTAAATATCAGATTATGTAAGTCAAGTTTCCTCTAACTAATGATTGATACTTACCCATATGCTTCCTGTGCAAGTAGGAGCCTGTAGGTATAAAATTGATGCAGGTATAAAACTTAGCATTTTAAGCAGTATAGAATACTTCTGCACAACTGGACAAGTGGAAAAGGTCATGGACTGGTGGAAGACACTGCACCTACCTTTGCCCCAACATAGATGGTTGTCAGGTGGAACAACATGTTCACACCACTAAACAAAAAACAATTAAGGCATTTATCTCAGGCGTCAGAAGTGGTGCGCCTTGCGTCTCTTCAAAAAGCCACAAAATCATGCACTTAAGTGGCCTTTTAGTTGCTCGCTTCGCCTCTGCAATTGGAGGCGTTTTTTTATGCGCCCACATGCGCTCTGCGCTTTAGGCGCATTTTTTAAAATTAAGATTCTAGGCTATATGGTGGACTCTACATCCTTGAAAGGCATCTACCTCCTAAGGGACAAGTTCGATCAAGTTGTTTTAAGTCCGTTTCTGATTCTTTTTTTTGAGATTATGTTATGGTATTTACGATTAGGTCATCCAAACTTTCATTATCTTGCAAAGTTACTATCACATTTATTTATCAATTAAAATCTAAGTTCTTCTATGATATTTGTCAACTTGTCAAGCATACTAAACCACTTATTCACCATCTCCATATAAACCTTCTCACCCTTTTGCTCCCATACAAGTGACATTTGGGATCTAAGTGGTTTACTACTTTTATTGATGATCATTCTCGAACAACATGACCTTCTTAATGATATCATTATTGTCTATATTAATGATATCATTATAACAGGAGGTGACACAGAAGATATCATCAAACTAAAAAGGCTACTTACCGCTGACATTGAAATTACAGACCTTGGTGATCTCAAATACTTTCTAGGGATGGAGGTTGCTTGATCTAAGGCAGGGATTATAATCTTTAAAAAAAAGTACATTTTGGACTTGTTAACCGAGATCGGTAATGCTTGGGTGTAAACCAATAGAAACACCGATGGATCCCAATTTAAAGTTAAGGAATGAAGTGTCAGTTGATAAAAAGCAATACCAAAGGCTAGTAAACAAGTTGATCTATCTTTCACATACAAGACCAGGCATTTCATTCTCAATAAGTATTGTTAACCAACATATGAATGACAACGAGAATAACATCTAGAGGATGTAAAATAAGTCCTAAGATACCTAAAGATGACATCAGGTCATAGTTTACTCTTTAAAAGGAATGAAAATCATGAGATATAAGTATATTGATGCAAGCTAGGTTAGGAAGTTAACTGAAAGAAGATCTACTAGTGGCTATTACACCTTTGTTTAAGGTAATCTTGTTACATGAAGAAGCAAAAAAAGAAGTCAACCACTCAACCTTTATTGAGACTTGTAGCAATTTAATGTGAAAAATTAATTTCTACATGGAGATTTGAAGAGGTGTATATGGAGTCCTCTAGAATTTGATAACATGAAAGCACAAGGAAAAGTGTGTAGATTGAAGGCCTTGTACAAATTGAAAGTCTTTCAAAGCATAGTTTTAAGATTTCACAAAGCAATGTTGATCATACTCGCTTTATAACCTCATAAGGATAAGATTACTCTTTTTATTAAATATGTTGATAAGATAATGATAACGAAAGATGAAAAGAAAAGATGGCTCAGCTAAAAAAGCTTGACTCAAGAATTTGAAATTAAGAATCTAACAAAACTGTAATATTTCTTAGGAATTGAAGTTTCCCAAATCCAAGAAAAGAATCTCCATTTCTCAAAAGAAATATACTTTGTACCTCTTGAAAAAAAATGATACTTTGGGTTTCAAACCGATAGAATCACCTTGAATGCAATTTCAAGTACCGTTGTGAAGTCAATGGATAGACATATATCAGAGGTTGGTTCGAAGACTAATTTATCTCTTGCACTAGAAAGGACATAACTTATGCAGTCGACTTGGTAAGTCAATTCATGCATGATCCTTGTAAGCTTCATATGCAAGTTGTCTTTTGCATTGTACGTTATCTAAAGGTTGCTTCTCTCCCCCTATATCTTCCCTTGAATAAAATGCTTGATCTTGAAGGGAATAGACATCTAAAAAAACAAACATTTTTAGTTATTAGTGATTTGACCCATTTGTACCTTTTTTACTAGGGAAATAGCCACCAAAGATGCACTTTATGGCTTTAGGATCAAACTTTTCTCATGTAGGACTGAATTCATGGAAAAGGCAAAGCAGCCAAAGACTATTGGCCACTAGGAATTGAATATTCCGGTTTGAGGATATGCTGCTAATAAGATACTTGAGGGAGTTTGAAATTGGAGGACTATTGACCTTAATTTCCTTTTCTTCGACCTCTACAATGTCCAATCATGGCTTAAAAGCAAATTGAAATGTAAACCCTAGGAACGAATTAAACTTTGATGCCAAAATCGATGTGGTTTAGGAAGAAAAAGGATAAAAATCGAGTAAGGTAGAAGTTGGAACTCTTGAAACATCTTGTTATAAAAACCTCTAGTTTCTCTCTCTTACTTGTAAGAAAATAATAATAATGTCGTTCTGACTGAAATATTTATAACTTATTTACACTAGGGTTACAAAAAAGTATTAATCCTAGCCCTAAAAATTTAAACACTAAAGTTAGTCTATAATCCTAAAGATATCCTATAATCCTAACCATCCATCTATGTCTATTAACAATAAAATAAAACTAAAACGATATGAAATAATTAAAAGCCTGCATCATGAATGAGTTTGACTTGAGCAAGGAGTATGATTATGAATTGAACTCTACTAAACTGAGTTCATTGAGTCCTGTTAGGACTCTTAAGAGATTGATAGCAAATTTAACTCATTAATTGATCCATGAATGTAGAAATAATATCACCAAAAAAAATCTACTTTTTATATACGTGATCAATATGATTTAACCTGTTATCTGGAGTGAAAAACATTAAACATAAGCAGAAATACCATCCAAGTTGAAAATCAAGGCGCCTTGCAGCGGCAGATTTATCTTCAATTTTATCAGAATTAGCCTCTGCCCATTCACAATCCAACACCAACCCAATTTGTCCCCCTTGCTTATCCTAGAACAAGTAACAGCAGTGGCAGAAAGAATGTTATTCTTGTCAATATACATATAATAGTTTTTCCCCCACACAAAAAACTATGAATGTCAATCATATCATGATAATAAGAAACATTAACAGATATGCAATTATTGGTATGGAAAAGTAATTTGTAGTATGTTTTCGATATAAATGTTTGCCTTCAGTTTAGAGAATGGACAAGATAACCAAATGAGGCGGATGTAATTAAAAAGATGGATTTTATCAAGAAACAGATTTAAAATTTACAACGTTAACTTTGGTTGAGGTAGTGAAAAATTATAGTTGAGAGTTTGAAGCTATGTTATTTACAAATGACAACAGGTTGTATTTGACTAAAAATAATAATCAGTAATGGACTCTTTACTTCAATTGCTTAATGATGCAACCACATTCAAAATTTTATATGCCTTCAAGAGCTATATCAGTAAAAATAAAATAAGTCCATAAACTAAGAATGACATTTGAACATTTAATATTTTGGAAATTAACAGGAAATGAAAAGGTCAAACATCAGTAACTCAAAGAGCTTGCTCAATTACATCCCGAGGCAGCCTTTTCTCTTTTGATGGCAAGAGGTTAGTTTTTCCAACAAATGAGAACCAATAAAGGAAATCAGGAAGTACAACAGTTGTTAAAAAGTCTGGAGAGTTCCTTTAAAGTTCAAGCACCTCTGATTTTGGTAGTTTATGTGCAGAAAGAGAATTTCAAGATATAACATAATACATGCCCGATGATTTCTAGTTTTGATGATGGATGTATACTGATCCCTAGATCTTTCTCTAGATCTGTTCATTTTACAGTACCTTGTACTTGCTTCTGTATATTGAAACAGCTGTTGCATGGGCCAAGATCTGATGATGTGCAGCCAAATATGGTTCTTCTGAAGAACTTTCACATCTTCCAGGAGCAAAAATCCCAGCATCATACCCATTCACTGCAGTTTGGAGGGGTTCATTTATAGTGATCCAATTCTTTACTCTGTCACCGAAGTGTGCAAAGCAAGTATCTGCATAGGTGGCAAAGTAATTTCTGGAAATGGCCAAGCAGAGGCCATATCGAAGTTAGTATACATGTTATTAGGTTCATAAATCTTATAGCGACACTCAAATGAAATAATTTAGCATGAAATTTTCCCTGATCTAACAGATAATTTGTAATTACTGTGCTCTTACCCTGAAAAGATGCAGCTTTATCCATGCTATGCTATGATATGTAAAAAATAAAATCTATATATATTTTTTTTTGATAAGATTTGAAGGTCTCTTTAAAAACCTCCTTCTTGATTAATGAAGCTTGTAAAGAAGCTCCTTAATCATGGGAAGGAGGAAAAGAGTGCCTTATAATTTCATTGAAGAAAATAAGAATTACAACCTTGGAAAGAAAAATCCAAGAAATACCCTTACAACAATTCTTGAGCCTTAAAACCGAACTATAGAAGTGAACAACATAATAATCAACCTATACCAGCCTTTGCTAGAGCATCGGCATCCACATTAGCTGTCCTTGCAATCCATCTAACAACCCCCCCGACGGTTTTAAGACACTCAACAATATCTCTAACAATGAAACCATAAACAGCTGGACATGGGACAACCTTATTGATCCAGTCTACTGCAACTCTGCTATCACTCTCTATGATCAACCTATCTTGAACTCTCCCTAGGACAGAGGTAAAGAAAGAGATACCCCTTTGGATAGCTTTAAGTTCCTTCAATGTTGGAGGTCCAGAACCATCCGGTTCCTGAAAAGAACCAAGGATTGCACCAGAATGATCCCTCATAAGACCACCCAGACCTGATTTTTCCCAATCACAACTAATGCTGCATCCACATTCAACTTGATGAAACCCGTAGGGGGAGGTAACCAAGGGGTTATGGAAGACTTCAAGAAATTGTAGGACGAGTAAGAATCCCCTATAGAAGGATCAGAGATTAAGGAGTCCTTAGGAATAGAAACATCCTTATTCTTTGCTAAATACCAAGAGGCCAGCCTAACTCTTGTTAAGAAGAATAATTCAGTCTGATCGAGCTTCCCCCCTTCAAAAACTATGTAATTCCTGAATTTCCAGATTGTCCAAATAACAGCCCCTGGAATGAAAGTCCAATTACCGAATTAGATTTCAATTCATCCCAAGCAAGAAGAAAATTTTTTGCTTCTGCAGAAAACACAGAACTAAATCTCCAGAAATTTAGAAATTTATTCCACAAAGACCACGCAACCGAACAGGAGAAGAACAGATGCGAAGAAGATTCTTCAACCATTTTACAAAGAGGACATAAGCCATCCTCAATACCTTGAACTCCTCTTTTAACCAATTCGGATTTAACTGCAATTTTTTGAAGCACAATTTGCCAAACTAATGTTTCAACTCTAGGGGGAACCAATCCTCTCCAAACAATCTTGTTCCAGAAATGAGTCTCTTCTGAAATTGAAGCACAACTCTTAATACAAGAACCGACTGTATAAACCCCATCCCCACTGCCTTTCCAGATCAATCCATCGCTAGAATCATAGATATAGAGAAAGAAGAAATGATGCTCACCAAATTGCACCATTGTTCAAGCTCCCAATCGTTTAAATTTCTTCGAACTTTAACATCCCAAATCCAACCCGAAGAAATAAATTCCCCGAACTCACAAAGTTTACCGAATTTATTAGTTGACAGTGAAAACAGTCTAGAAAATAGAATCTGAAGTGGAAAATCAGCAGCCCAACTATCTTGCCAAAATCGAACATGCTTACCATTTCCGACATAAAACTTGAACAAACTACGAAACTTACAACCAAATGAGTCTTGTTTGAAATGGTTATTAACCACTGATCTCCACAACCAGGAGGATTGAGAAGGAATCTTGCTGTCAAACAACAGTCTAGAAGAGTCAATATTGTATTTGCTACAAATAAAATTTCTCCAAACATAATTTCTCTCATTTGCAAACCTCCAAGACCATTTCCCTAGCAATGCTCTGTTCATAAAAATCAGATTCCGAACTCCCAAGCCTCCCTCAGTCTTTGATTTGCAGACATCATCCCATTTAACCCAGTGTATCTTCTTAATACCATTGCCCCCTCCCCATAAGAAATTAGACATAATAGAATTGAGAGTCTTGAGGATAGAAGCTAGGATTGACATGAAGGTTTAATAATATATTCTACAATTGAAATGTGCAATACAGGAAACTTGTCCCAGTGCAAGCTATTATTTACAGCTCCAAAAGCAGGACCAAAGAGGGTGATCTAAATTTTAATAGCAGTCAGTCGATGGTAACCTGCACTACACAGGCAAAGAAGGGTAAAATCCTAACAATCATATCATATATGTAAAGAATTTGATTAGCATAGAAACTTACAACAGGATTACCTTGCCATTAGCGGTAAGCTAGTAACGTGTTTATTGTCTCTCAGGTGGATTAACAACTTAAGACAAATATTAGAGAAAAATCCAATTTGATTTGTTTTTTTAGTAGTGAAGGAAAAGGTTGCTACTGCACAGTGGAAAATGTTAACTCATGGCAGAAAGCAATTTCCACAGATTTTTTTGATAAAAATTTCAGGCCTCGTTAAAAACCCCCTTCTTGATTAATGGAGTTTATATGAACTCCTTAATCAGTGGAAGGAGGAAACGAGCGCCTTAGGATTTTATTGAACCATAAAATTACATAAGATACAACCATCATACACCCCACCAACCAAATAAACTTGAAACAACCATAAAACACCCGAAATATAAGACTAGAATAGAATCAGCCAATTCCTTCTTTAGCTAAGGCATCAGACTCTTGATTGGCTGACCTATTAACCCATCTTACAACACCTTCTAAAACATTAAGCCTATGAACAATATCTTTGATCAAAAACGCATAAACATCAGGAACTAGATCCTCTTTCTTAATCCAGTCTACCGCAACTTTGCTGTCGCTTTCAATAATCAGACGACCCTTCCTGTCTCGTAAATTCGCATAGAACATTAGACCCTTTTGAATAGCTTTTAATTCCATAAAAGTTGGAGGTCCTGGACCAGCAGATTCCTTGAAAGAACTTAAAGTCAAACCCGAGGAGTCCTTTAGAACACCTCCTATCCCACTCTTCTTCCAATCTCTTGTAGTAGCCGCATCAACATTTAACTTTACAAAACCTTGAGGAGGAGGAGACCAAGGAAATATAGATACAAGCCGATTAGGATAAAGAGAGCACAAATCCCCTAATGAAGGGTCTGAAATAAGAGAATCCTTAGGAATGGACACCTCTTTGTACTTAGCAAGGAACCAAGAAGCTAGTCTAAACCTTGCTAGAAAAAATATTCAGCCAAATCCAGCTTTCCCCCTTCAAACACAATGAGATTCCTAACTTTCCAAGTAGTCCAAATAACTGCCCCAAGAATAAAAGACCAAATTGTAGAGGAAGACTTCAACTCAGCCCAAGCAAGTAGGAATTTTTTCGCATTAACATGCAAAACAGACTTAATCTTCCAGAAATTCAGAAATTTGTTCCAAATCATCCACACCACCGAACACGTGAAAAACAAGTGCGATAGAGACTCCACCTCTCTCTTACAAAGAGGGCACCTAATGTCTACAATTCCTTGTATTCCCCTTTTAACAAGTTCTGACCTAACAGCCAGCTTCCCTAACACCACCTGCCACATAAAGGACTCCACTTTAGGTGGAATCTGGCCCCTCCAAATAATCTTCTTCCAGAAATATACCTCTTCCGAATCCGAAATAATGGTTGAACAAATCTTAGTGCCAGATTTAACAGCATATACCCCATCTCCAATACCTTTCCAAATCACCCCATCACATAACTCCGTAGATAGAGAAACAGAGGAGATAGCATTCATCAAGTTAACCCACTCTTCTACTTCCCAGTCGTTTAAATTTCTTCTAAACTGCACATCCCAACTCCAACCATATGAGCTGTAATTCCCAAATTCAACCAGTTTACCCATTCTGTTTGTGGAAATGGAGAACAATCGAGGGAAAATAATTAGAAGAGGAAAGTCCAACGCCCAATTATCTTGCCAGAACCTAATTAATCTGCCATCCCCAACTCGGAAAGAATACAAACTTCTAAACTTAGAGCCAATACTGTCTTCTTTAAAGTGATTCAAAACCACCGATCTCCAAATCCAAGATACTCTTTGTGGGACTTTGTTGTCAAACATTAACCAAGATGGATCCATTTTGTATTTAGAACAAATGAATTCCCTCCAAACAGACCCCCTTTCATTAGCATACCTCCAATACCATTTTGCTAGAAGAGCTCTATTCATGAAACCAAGGTTTCTAACACCTAAACCCCCCTCGAATTTTGACTTGCACACATTCGGCCAGTTAACCCAATGTATCTTATTTTTACCTACTCCCCCGCCTCATAAGAAATTCGCCATAATGGAGTTGATAGATTTAAGAACCGTAGCTAGTATCTTAAATAAAGATAAATAATACATCGGGAGCGAACATAGAACCGACTTTATTAAAACCAACCTTCCTGCTAATGACAGGGAAGCAGCCTTTCACCCCTCTAATTTATTCATAAAATTATTCACCGCCGGATTCCAAAGTGCTGTAGAGTTCCTAGTAACGCCCAAAGGCAGTCCTAAATATTCAGAGGGAAAACTACCCACAGAACATCCGATAGAATTAGCCCACTGCTGAACTTCTTCCTTATTCATATTCACACCAAACAGTTTACTTTTCTTCAAGTTGAGTTGTAAACCAGAAATCACTTGAAACACTCTAAGCACCCTCTTCACATTTAAAATCTGCGTCTTGGATGCACCACAAAACATAATGAGATCATCCGCGAACTGTAGATGAGATAGTTTGAAAGCATCAGCATCCCTTCCTAAAACCAGTCCAGAAAACAGACCCTGTTCCACAGCCTTCACAATTAGCAGATTGAGAAGTTCTCCAATAAAATTAAACAACAGAGGTGATAGAGAGCACCCCTGTCTAAGACCTTTAGCCATTGCAAATTCCTCAGTAGGAACTCCATTCACTAAAACAGAAACTGAAGCTGTGGTTACA